CATAATGTTTGAACAAGCCTGCCTTTCCATTGGACGGCACTCAGCAGCAGCACTTACTTTGCTTTATATCATAGAGATGATCGTGAAAGAAGACTTTGAGAGCTGCTTTAGAAAGTGGCAAGAGTGACAGGATAAGTGTGCTTGAAGTGAGGGGGAATTTTTCAACTGGGATTAATGGCAATGTGCTCTTTAATAAGACATTTAAACATTCACCATATATTTTGTTCAAACTACATATTTCTTCATATGTCACTCTTTTGCTAATGCAAAATAAACATAAAAATAATAACTCAAAAATATAGTTGCTAATATTTATTGTTATAGTATGAGGCTCTTCTATTCATTTCTGTCTTTCTTTCCAACCACCTCAAAGTTAGTGAAGACAGGCATGGTGGTGCAGACCTATAATCTCAGCAGTTTGGAAGGCTGAGGATGAAGGATCACAATTTGAGCCCAGCCTGTGAAACTTAGAGATTTAATGAGATCCTATGTCAAAATGAAAAATAAAGAGCACTAGGGATGTAACTCAGTAGCTCAGTGCAAAGGCACAAAGGCCTTAGGCTCAATATATCTCATACCAAAAAAAAGAAAGAAATATTAGCAATCAACTTCTCTGATCTGAAGCTTCATAAAAGGCAATAATTATGCAATTTTAGGAGAATATAATTGCTCTACTACATCTTAGTCCTGTTTCAACAGGGATATTACTTAAGCTGGGCTTCTGAAATGTATTTACTGTTGAAAGAATTAAACCAGAGAATGTTTATAATATGCTCATAGAATTTTCAAATAGAAAATCTCAGCTAATGTTGTTGCTCTCAGACATCTCAGGGAGGAGACAGAAGTAAGTTGGACAACAGTAAAAACCATTTTGAGAAGCCTTTAGCATCAAGAGTAAGTAAAACAAAGGCTGAATATCCATTTCTCAAGATCACAGGTGACAGTCATGAAAACAGTTACCTGGTAAAGATTTCAGTGGCAAAAGAACATATACAAAGGAGTGTTCAGGCAGTTCAAGAGGGATGCCTCAGCTATGATTGGTATCACTTTTGAATACTTCTATGTTACCTTTATAGAGGGAATATCTAATCCAAAAACAGATGTCTAGTTGAATATTTTCACCTTATAGGAGTAGCAGCTGACTTCCTCATCTGCTTATATAATGCTTATAAAACATCTACTTAAATGCAGACTGTTCAGCTTTATTTAATTACTAATTTCTTTCATTCCTGCATTACCCCAAAGTTTAAACCGAAAAGTAAAAAGAAAAAATATTCCAACTGATA